ACCTAGATCTGCTACTGGGTAATTTCATGTATATAATACATGGCGGTTATTTCATATATGTTATATGTGTAGCAGCAGTATTTCTTACATACTCACAACAGCATGTTTGTGGTTGTATTAGTAGTAGCAAGTCATACTTTCTCTGCCACAGCAGCAGCGTAGACGATCTATTCTGCCAAGACCAAACACATTAACACTATCATGTATATTACCATGCTAAACTCTCAGAGAGTTGTCATGACATAAATCGTTTTATTTGCATATTAAGACATAAAACATAATCTAAACCTAAACCAAGCTTTTTTTTTTTATCATTCAAATAAATAAATAAATAATAATTCATTTCACCGTAGGTGGTGATGTCCAGCGGTCATCCTGTCACCACAATCATTTGTGGACATTCCGCTAAAGTTGGTTTTCATTGAACATGCAGTCCTGCCATCAACCAGCCAAGGGCCAGCAACTCTAAATCAAACACACTGCGACATCCGACCCCATTACAGCATTCAGCTAAAGTAATAATTAGAAAGAGAAGATGGACTGCCTGCTCTGTCCCATTAGATCCACATTACCAGTCTCCCACCTCTTCAAATGGGAACCTCATTTATCTTTTAATGTTAACTGATATGTTAATTTAGCTATGGATCTATGTATTATTACACTTTGGAAATGAAATATATGCTGTGCTTTTATTTCATTTTACTTGATTTCATTTGTTTGTTGTAAAAACCTTTCCCTACCTTCTCATAACTATTTGAATATTGTACGCCAACGGTTATCTCAGCTAGACGTTGTAAAACATGCATTTCATTGACTCACTGTCATGGCTGTTCAGAACAGATTGTTGTGTCATCACATTTTAATGCGATTATTGCAGTGAACCATGATTGGGTAGATAAACACGGCTGACTGCTCTTTCATCAAATTAAGCATTTCATGCATTATTGATATTTTCAGATGTGCAAGAGAACTCAAGAGGCTAAGCAAGATAAATAAAGTTTAAAGGTATCAGTACACTGAACAAATCACAACTACACTGAAAGAAAAAAAAAACTGTTCAAAAACAGAAAAGGTAGCTAATGTTCTGCCAGGACATTTTCCACTAAGTTTACTGACATTAATCTTAAACACAACACATTGCGTAATTTAAAATACAGGAAAATATGTGAAAAATCAATATAGAAAAATTCATATTAACACACCGCATTGGGCTCTTTTTTACTATAGTATATCTTTACATTTATTTCGTAAGGCATTATGTACATTTGGTTTATTTTGTGATACTGGCAAAATGTATAAAAATAAATCTGTTGGCATGAAATATTGATTTGGATGATTATAATCTTACCTGTATATCATCTTAAAAATTATGCAAAGAAAAAAAAACAGTCAATTGCGCAAAACAATCAGTCTATAGCAACAAAACGAACTATGGAACAATAACTTTAATATGAAATCTGATTGTAATTTTCACCACAATCAATAACGAGGACACAAGTTGCAGCCAGTGGCATTTGTACAAAACAAGAGGGAATAAGTCTGCGAAGTGATTAGTGAAAATTAGTGAATAGCGTTGGTTTCAGGGCAACAATCTGAGCGTTAATTCCACAACTGACCAATCAGAAACGTGTTTTTCTAAGAGCAGTGTAAAAAACCTATTTAGTTGTACATGAGATTATAACTTTTGCAGTTGTTGACAGGAACCCAAAATCATTGCTTCGCTTTTTGCCTTTTTGTCATTTTTTCAAATACAATGGGAGGACCCAGGGCCATTTTTCAAGCTCTCTCTAGATTATTTTAACAGCAGCCCACTAGCTCTGATAAGAGAATGAGAAAAATAGATATATTTCGGTCTACGCTCTCATTTAAGAGCACTCTTTCTGAGTCACACAGTTAACTCTCTGCGGGAATTTACTGCCAGTCAAAATCTGGCTCATACATTTTTTGCCAGCTGCAATTGGACCGAATAGAGAAAAGGTCTTCTTCCTTTCCTGAGGGACTGATAACACCACACACTGAGTGGAGGAAATGCCTACAGCTTCACAGAATTGCCTTTTCGTATTTATTTTGTCATTTTGGAGCGTTCCTTCCTCCATGCCATAAACAGGCCACCACTTCATTTGCAAATAACTTACAATAATAATGTGTGTTGCTCTACAGACATCCAGTTTTGTATTACAATTTATTTTCACGAAACTGAGAGAATTACTGAAAGTAGTAAATAAGTTGAGGTGGACCGCTTTTGCAAGCCACTTGTTTTTTGTTTCGCTTCATTTTTTATTTTTTTTTTAGATCAAGTAGGCCTCAAGTATGAGGCCTGACTAACTGTTTATCTTATGCAGACTGAATTTTCTGATTATACCTCTTGAGTACCTACTTGTTGAGCTCTTGGAAAAATATTGAGAAGGAATTCATACATACAGAAAATGGTTATTTTCTCCCCATGCAAATACTGCTCTTGGATGTTCATTTTGATGAATGTGTTTTCAACACCATGATTTCAGGCTGTTATTTATCATGACATGATCAATGGCATTTCATTAAAATTAATTTTTATGGTGAAAATAATTTCCCCGTTGCGTAATTTGTATACCTTTATATATGATGGTGTCAAATGTCCATCAGAAGAGAAAATCAAGTGGATAAAATCAACAATTAAACTAAGAACCAGTTTGATTAAAACAGTAGCCTTCACTTTCCCAGCCTGATTTGAACAGGCTATTTCCTGCTCTCCGTCCTGAATGACTTTCTTTATCTATTTGCATTGACCTGCAGAAGATGAAGTTGAAAGAGATAGAGAATGACCCTGATTAGCAGACCCTGATGTGACTCCACACCAGGTGAACTGGTCATCCAAGGGTCAAAGGGGGTCATATCCATCAGCCAAGCAACGAAAAAGGTCCTCGTGCCAGGGTTCTTCCTCTTTTTCCAGCTGGAGAGTGATGACAGCCTTGTTTCAGATAAGGGACTGATCCATTGGCCTGATTTGTGGCCAGCAGAGCAATTTCAATACCCGTCTTTGCACTGATAGATGAGGCCTGCCTTTGATAAAGGGCCAATTTACCTTAGGGGCAATGGGGATGAAACTGCGGCAGTTGCCTTTATTTGTCTCCACCATGATTCAAAGTGAAGAAAAAATGGTAAAAGAGAGGAAAAATAATGCAAAATAATCAAAATGAAAGAAAATTTGTACTGTTTTGACTGGTATCTGACAAAGCTTTCAAGTGTCTTCCTGCCCAGCAGTGGTTCACACACAATGCTTTGGTTGGAAGGAACACACGGTGTAAGGGGTCATTTTCACAAGGACACATTCCTGTGTTCAAAAACAGAATGAAACAGTGGTGAACTGAAAAACGTATTTAAAAAAAAAAATATATATATATATATATTTTTTTTTTTTTTTTTTATATACAAAAATTTCGTCTAGCATATGTTCACAATTAAAAAAAAATGTTACAGGCTCAAAACATGTATTTTACAAATATTACAGTTTAATTTAATGTAATTTAATATTTTATTTCCATTCATTTATTTTATTTTATTCTTATTTTTTTGTCCAAAGATATCCATCTTGCATATGTTTTCAATAAAACAATGTCACAGGTTCAAAATGAATATGCTTTTTTATTAAAATTCGGTTTAATGTAAGTTTATATTTTATTTTATTTTTTATTTTATTTAATGTTTAATTTTCCTTTATTTTACGCACTGTGATGATTCTGAATGATGCCTGCAGAAAGAATAAATTCTGGAGTGAAGAAACAAAGACTAAAGTAATTTCTCTCTAATGGACCCTTAAGGATTCATCATTACATTCAGAGTTTTGGTGGAATTTCTCAAATTAAGATGGAAATGACAACTGAGACTTTTCCATGTTGCACTTGATATTTCCTCTGTAATGTTAGATGATTGAGCATGATGAGAAATTATAAGACTTACTTCTTATAAGAATGGTGTAAGAGAGAAGAAAAATCAGTAACTGTCTCTGTCTTACGTGTCCCTTTTTTTTAATACACATTTTGAATACTTTCACAACTCAGAAAGCAATCTCTCCTGAAATGCAAGTTCTCTTGAAATGATTAACAAATTCATCTCAAGACTCAAACAATAATAAATGAAAACCGAATGAGATACTCACACTTTCTCCACATTAGTATCATAGTTTCAATACAGACCTCATTATTTAGCTGTATTTCAAATGCAAGATGAGCCTTATATAAAAGCAATTACTAACCACATTCACTTGGCACAGACATGGCTGATTTCTGAATTAGAGATGAGAAGTTCACGGCTCTTTGTTATTTCTAAGTTTTGCTGGCGCAACATTTCAAAAACTGAGCAAATTTGAGAGCTCATATAAAGCAATTTTTGCAGATTAAAAAAATGACTGATTATTATTTTCCTAGTATTACTATTACTTATCCAGTAACTTTGTAATGTCTGCTAAGTGGCAAAATTCTTACCCAAACTGAACAAATGCATATGAAAGACTGAGAGGTGCAGAAATATACACAACCCTTAAGGCTGTTGGACGTGACACACTCTTATTACATTAGGCTGCTGTTTTGTTTGTGCTATCGGTGCTACTCTGCCTCAGGTTCTTTTTGAAGTCTATCCAGTTTGACAAATGTTTTCCATAGACTTGCCTTTATTACTCTCTGAATTTCATATCATCACATAGATTAGATATTAATTTGCATCCAAATTTGGGGGTTTTATGACTAATATAGTCTGATGTTCCTTTGAATCCTCCCAACAATTGGGCCTGTGGTTCATCCAGCACATTTTACTCAGATAAACCTAATAAAAGATTTAGGATTTTATAACTTATAGTTTATGCGAGATGCATAATTCACATGTCAAACTTTGGGAGTTGAAGAACAGTATTTTCAAGAGGTATCTTCACTACAATCTTTACAACACAGGGTCAGAGCTGACGTGTTATAATCAGGGGTTAAATTGGGCTAGAACAATCTGACGTCATTCTCCGCCCTCGCTGTTACACAGTGCTAAGCGGACATGACATCATAACCAACGCGTTTGACTCTTCTTGGATCTAAGCGCGGTCTACTGGAATTTACTAGAAATATTGTTTTTTTTCTCTCTCTTGCGTGTGAGGTAATATACTCAAAAATGTATTTGGCATGTTTAATATCTGTTTTAAGTGATCATGAATCCGACTGAGCGTTTAGTCCTTTTACAGAGGAAAAAAATAATGTCCAGGCTACACCGTTAGCTGATAGTGGAGCTAGCTGGCTAACCTCTAAGCGGTAATATTACAGAAAAATATATTTAGGCAAATTAAAATGTTATGTTAAGGATAGACTGAGAGTGGTTAGTTAAGCAAGCATGAAATACGCTGATTGTTCACTGGCACTGGAGTGCGAGAAGTACCTCACTAACGTTAGTGATGCTAAATGTTTTTTTGAAATGTGACTGAATCATTATATTGCTGATATTTAATTTCAGGTTTTGTGTTGATCAGTGGTCTGAGTTTTCATGGCTGCACCTGCCCTGCAACAGCCCAGTTATCTTCTGGTTAGTACTAGATTCAGCTGTTTATATATTATATTATATTTCTCTGTCTAACCTTTGTGTCTTGCTGCCTGCAGGCCAATTTAAAGGCAGACTGGACCAATAAACCTCTTCATCAAAGATGTCACGAGTTGAGCAAAATTATAGACGATTACCCTGCAAAGGTATGGTTCTCTGATTTATTACATGCACGCACGAATATTGAAAAACTCTTTTATTTATTAGTACATTTATGATTAATGTTATTATTTACAGTGTTGTGATACACTTTATAATTATTGCGACTTTATAAAGTCCTTATTTTTGCACCTAAAACAGGCAGCTTTTTGTTAGATTCATCAGAAAAATCTGTTGAGGCAACAGCACCATTGCCCATGTATTAGAGATTAAACGCAGTGTCATCTGCTTGGCACATGGCACTGGACCAGCTGCTGTTCTGCTGGCGCCTCTTCCCCTCACCCTGACTCGACTCAGTGCTGTCTGAATGAATGATGTTTGTTTAGTGTTGAACTCTGTGACCTCCTTTCTCAGATTCATTTGACAGTTTGTGCAAGCCACACATGCCTGTTTCTTGCTTCATTTGTTGGCTAAGTCACTTGTGACCGTGAGGCCTTGGATTGCTTAGAGGATGGCGTGCATGCGCCTCTGCTCTTTGTATTAAGTCATGAAAAGTCTCATTTGTGTTTATATGACATATATTTGATTAGGAGCTGCATGCAATCTTTCCCTGGTTGGTGGAGAGTGTGTTCGGGAGCCTGGATGGAATCCTTAGTGGCTGGAACCTGCGGTTTCTGCAGGCTCGCTCGGCAGAATACAACATCGCCATGGACTTCCTGGACCCAAGGTTCTTTTTATTTTGTTTTTGTATTATTTTGTGGTGTTCAGTATTGTGACTAGTATTACCACTGTTTTTCAGAGTACAAATCATACTACCGTTCAAAATTATAATTTTCATCTAACCTGAAAAAAAAAAAAAAAAATTGTATCACTGAAGACTGTATTTATGGCAGCTTTGCCATCATAGGAATGAATTGCATATTGAAATATAAATATTTTAATATAATAAATAAATTATTTCCTTTCTAATAAAATATCACAATATTTCTGTTTTTACTGTTAAAATAGTTGCAGCCTTAGTGAGCATAAGAGCACAAGTGCTTTTTGAAAATATTAAAAACTCTTACCGACCTAAACTTTTGAATGGTAGTGTAGATATTGAATTGTTGCTCTGTTATCACATTTTAAATATTTATTCAACAGTGGTGCTATGATGAAATTGGTGTACAAACTACAAGCTGAGGAATACAAGTATGAGTTTCCAGTCAGTTATCTGCCAGTAAGTATATTCATTTAGGTGCATCATCCCTGATTGATTTTGTGGAAATGGCGTTATTATCCGTGTCTGTGTTAATTTGTATTTTGCTTGCACAGGGTCCTATAAAGTCGTCCATTCATGCTGGGGTTCTGCCAGACTGCCCTCTGTTTCACAATAAAATCCAGTTCCCCATGTCAGGCCTTCTATTGCTCAGTACGTCTTGGCTTTTTACAACCTAACTTTTGTATTATGCTATAAATTGTATTATATAACTTATTATAACTGTTACAAAGCTGTTTCATCACTCTGTCTTTCTCTCACATAACATATCTGTTTTTAATCTTTCGCAGATCCTTTTGAATATTATATGTTCAGCTTTGCCTCCAGTCTCATTGCACCAAAGGTAAAAGCTCTTCCGCTGTCATTTTGCAAGAACAAATGTACTGTTTACTCGATTTTCACACCCTGATGGTTATTTAACAGGATTACAGGATCTTATTGGCTCATTATCAGTTCATTTAAATGTTGTTTAATAACCTTTTCAGAACTACCCTCCAGGGCAGCATGGGAGTTGCTCAGATAGCACATACTTTGTGCTTGTCAACACCTACCTCAAATACTTTCTCCCTACAGAGGGCAATGTGCCTCCATCACCTTTCTCGGACACCAGGGGAACTGTGGCCTCTCCTGCTCCAAGGTATCGTGATGTCATTTAAAAGATCCGTTGACCAGCAAATAAGCTCCAGTTTTATATATGGTTTTATATTCTTCCTGTCCCAGGTCTCCCAATGTGCCTTATGTTGGATATGGTGGTCACAGCACCAGTTTGTTGAAGCGTCATATTACCCATCAGCCCTCAGTCAACGCTGACCCTGCTGCTCAAGAGATCTGGAGATCAGAGACACTCTTGCAGGTAGGAGTTAACACGTTAACTTGTCATTTGTGATGAGTGTCCTTCATGGTTTGGCATGAACTTCATGGTTGTGTGTGTTTCTAAAGGTGTTTGTGGAAATGTGGCTCCATCACTATTCTCTGGAGATGTACCAGAAGCTGCAGTCTCCTCAGGTGAAGGTAAGAATGTGTTACAGGCCCTCAGACCTACACACTCCCTTCCTCCTCTGCGCACGGCTGGCTGGCTCCAACCCTTCACCCTGCACTGCATAGGGACTGCTGCACGACACCCACCCTGACTCATGCACTTCCTCTCCCTAATTGCACATGTGTGAATGACACACATGTGCTCTGTTTACAAATATACCCTTTGTTTCATAGCTACAGTGTAGGGCTGCACGATTAATCGCATGTGATATTTAACGCGCATCTTATCAGTAAAGCCGGTTCTGTAATCAGCGGTAAATCTCCATCACCTGCGTGCTTTCACATTGAGCAGCATTAACTACACAGAGCCGTTGTTCACTGACGAGCTGCGCTAAACCACGTTCATATTCGCGCGATGTTTTGCACAGCTCATCAGTGAACAACGGCTCTGTGTAGTTAATGCTGCTCAATGTGAAAGCACGCAGGTGATGGAGATTTACCGCTGATTACAGA